AGAAAAACATTTCTCAGTACATTCTGAAATCTGCTGTGGTAAAAGAGTAGCATCAACCATTGCTCTCACTTCCTAAACTTGCAAAGACATGCTATCCTTTAAAGGCAATTGTTTTTGTGCAGGATCCTGCAAAGCTGGTTATTCTGAAGCCTCCTCCTAGTCCTTTTTAGCTGGAGCTTGAAGAGACACTCCTAATCACCTGAGATCATTCCCAGCAATCCCAAAGGGACATGGATAAAGTGAACATGGGCCTGGATGGTTTTCCTTATATTTTAAAAAACAACTAGATTTTGACGTACCCTGTGATTGCAAGATTTCTCCAATTGTCTAGGCAGATTAATTTGGATAAAAAGTAACAGTGCAGCAAGACTTCAGCTCAGATCAGGTATGCATGGTATGGACTAGATACCAGGTAGATGTTAGCAACCTGGGAAATTGAAAGTAGAGTCACTAGGAGAGCCTACACAGCACTGTACTTTGGGCTCTGTGTGACCTGACTTGTCAGTTTCATCACATTGAGTCTGGTGATCATTTTCTGCATCTGTATGGCTTCGCCACCCACCTATAAACATGTGCTTGGAGTGACATGTCAGGATGTTTTGGATTCTCAAGAAAGATCTGCATGCCTGTGGACTCTGGTAATTGCTTCCCAGCTTCTAAACCCACAGATATGTGAATTCTGCAAGTAAGTTGAATGGAGACTCTGCAGCTGTTAATCAGCCTGAGGAAGTTCTTTACTTGTATTATGTGCTGAGCAGACAGGGGACAGCAGATGGGTAAGACATGCAACTACGTTCAGGGGAGTGAGAGCTGAAATCCCCTGGGACAAAATACACTGGTGTGTCACTGAGTCACAGGCAAGTAGCATTCTGAAACAATTTTAGAGTTCAGAGTGATCTGTATATCCTTTATGGTTGGTCACAATGCAAGTTTATGAGTTTTCGTCAATCCACAGTTGCTCCTGGGTAGCTAACACCAACCCCAGCCCTCAACAAACAAAAGGAAGTAAAACAGCACATGGACAGTGTTTTCAGCCAGCAAGAGCAGGTGACCAGAGAAACAAATGAGTTGTGATATTTTCTCATCTCCATCACTGAAATATCCCTTTAAATAAGTATTATTTGTTTTCAAAGCCATGGTGACCATCTTGCCCCAAAATTTTACCCTTAGTTTATTTCACCAAAGATCTGAGCATCTGTATTTCTACACATTTAGCATTTTCCTTTGTCCAACACAGAATATGTAAATGTTTCCCAGAAGCAGAACCTTGTTGGTTCCCAGGCCCATGTGGTCTCTGTGATTCACTGGCCAGCCAATAGGTGCATCCTGTTTTCCAGTCCAAGTTCATCCTATTTTCTAGTCCTGGCTACTGCCCCAGTCTTTTTCCCACTGACATCAATATCTAGCACTGAAAGAAACATGATCTCTGCCACCTAGTGTATTTCCACTGTGCTTCTACTCTACAATGAAGAAGAGACCTCGAAAAAAAAAGCCAGACATCTTCTCTTTCATTTCAATCTGCAGGTATTCACCTGCTATATTAGACTTGCTCATGGCATGGAGGTCCCACTGAGATTTTCAGAGACTCGTTAAGATTGATAAAGTTCGGGAGAGAAACTTTATTTGAAAAGAATAAACTGTCAAAAAATGAAAAGAGAGACTTGTGAAGGAAAGGAATTTTAAACTTGTTCCTCATCTTTTAACAGTTTGTAAAATTGAATAGTTAAATCTCCAGGTTTTCACCCAACACAAAGGTCAGGAAAGAAAGGGGAACCTAAAAGACCGCCCTTAGAGGTTAAGTGGGTGGATCAGATTAAATCTCCAGGCTTTTGACTGACACCAAGATCCAGAAAGAAAGGTGACCCAGAGGTCATCCTCAGAGGCTGGCCAGCAGGAAAGGATATCTGATAGTGTATTTCAAAAATGGGTATCTCATCTTCTAAGACAGTATTGATAGATCAGTTAGTAGACTTGTTAAAGAGGCAGGGTACCACCATTAAGCCAAAGACAGATAAGATTCTATTTTAGCTTCGAAAAGACAAGTCCATGGTTTTTACACTTAGGAGGGGTTAATAGTCATGATTGGGAACAAGTTAAAAATGTTCTCTAAAGTTGTGCTCAGAAAGAAGGACTGGACATGTTTCCTATTTCTGCCATTCCCATTTGGAGTTTAGTGAAGGATGCCCTATAGAGTGATAGTGCTAAGGTGAAGGAACAAATGCCTGATCTTGCAAAATCATTTATAAATTACCAAGAACAGTTAGTAAATTACTGCCCATGTTTAGCCCTGAACTCTACTACTAGTCCTTAGTTACCTATGTGCCATGCCACATTACAAGGACTTGGTAAGTCTGTAGCTCCTGAGTGTAGCCCTAACTTCAAAAGCAGAGAGATGAGGAGGGGCATTGAGAATTTTTCACCACTCAAACATTTGCTTTAAGAAATTATGTTATCTGTAATTCAGAAGATTGGACAGGACTGGGTCATTTTTAGCTTGGTAACTAAGGTTCCACCCTTACGGGCTTTTCCAAATACAGGGAAGTCAGAGCAACCCATGTGGGTAGACCAATTTCCCATATATAAAATAAAATTGGAGACGGCTCATCAGCTGTTTTAAGAACAATTGGATGCTAGACATATTGAAGTTTCCAACTCTACTTGGAATACACCTATTTTTGTTATAAGAAAAAATAGGAAAATGGCGATTTTACAACATTAGAGAGAGGTCAGTAAAACTAATGGTCATGGATGCTGCACAACCATGTTTACCCATTCCAGTAGGAATTCTAAAAGATTGGCTCAAATCTTTGGCAAAAGATCTCTTGTTATTGTTACACCTTGCAATTCCTCAGAAACTGCCTAGCTACAACAGAATATTGACAGTTGGAAATGAAAAAATGTTGAGGACATGATAGCCTTTTTAAACCTTTTTTTAAACTCATGTATTTGCTGGAGCTTTTCTGTCACAAGAGATTTCAATTAAGTAAGTTTCATTTCAACAAACTAATCATGGCCTCAGGAAAAAGGATGACTACAAGATGTGTAGTGTGGCCACACTGGTATCTATGAAATGTGATTGTGAATGTGGGAATGTGAACTACTTGAATTGCTTTGGATATGAATAAAAGGATATTTAAACTGCTTCAGATGGATAAGAACCTACCTAAATTGCTTTGGATATAGCCAAAAAGAACTTCCAACCAGTCAGTGTCTTAACAAGAATGGTTAGTGATTTAAGTCCTCAGAGCCAGTCAGTGGAAAATTAACAGAAGCCTACAGCATGGCCTAAGAGCCAAAGAAATGTATGAGGATGATTCTATACAATTAAGCAGAGGAGAGTTTTCAGGAATTCTCCTAAATTATTTTGGTTTGAAAAAGAAATGTAGGGAAAATGGTTTTGAGAAGAAGCCTCAGGGAAATTGCTGCCTTGTTAGACCCCACCTACAAAGAATTCAATGTAGATACAAATTAGTCCATGTCAGCTAAGATAAAAATGAGAACTTGTCATGTAGGGAGAGCTTTACAGGTTGGATTACAAATTGGTTTAAGGAAATATTCCCGAACTTCTAGAAACTTTGAAAGGTTTTCATGAACATAGTAGAGTATGCAATCTTTGTGAGATTTTTGAAAACTGTTGGGATATATTCAATGGTTACATCCTTTTTAAGGGTATCTACTGGTGATTTATATACTGATCCCAATTCACCTAGACAGGGAACTAACAAGGATAGAAAGTTTATTCTACTGTTGGAGTACAATCCAGCATCAACAGATGTTAGTAAATAGTTCAAACAAATTTGGTTGCTTTATCTCAGGTAGGGAGTGCTCTACAGTCTCCTAACTTTCTTCATCAGAATAACAGGAGTCTAAGAAAGCATCTTTGTTTAACTAGAGAGACTACTCATCAAAACTGTCAAACGATGAGGTGTACCCACAATACTTATATATTTCTAATGTAAAAATGAAGCCCTTGAGGACTAATTCCAAATCATTTATGACAAATGGTTATTAATCATATTACAGAATTTGGCAATCTAAAATGTGCACATGGCAATTGTTAGGTATCCAGGTTTATTGATGGCCACTAAACAAAATGGAAAGCCAAAATACATGTGTCAAAAGATAAAAACAGGGGGAATAGGGTCTCCAGTTCCTACATGATTCATTAAGTCATGCATTCCTCGTTTTAGTTTTTAAAAATATGGATGCCACTGAGCTATCTGCTACACACAGGTTCAGGCAAGATGGAAATTAAGTGATTTTGCATAAAGTCATATGGAGACACTTATGCCCTACAAAGGAGACACGATTTTGCCCTAATTTGAGTTCTAGGTCGTATTTGTGTTTTCTTACAGGTAAAAATAAAACTCAGTGGTTTCCCAAACATTTGGTAAGATACATATAAATGAGAAATTCCAAACATGAAACCATGGGAGCCTGCTCCAGCCAGTTAAAGTGAGATCACCTGAACCTATGTTACTGACTCTTGATATCATTGAATCTACAGCCCAAGAAACAAAGGAAACAGTCAATTCACTATTTCCAGTTTCTCAACAGGCCTGCTCAATCAACATCCCAGACCTTTAAATTTTCATGACAGAGCAGACAAAGAACTGAAAGACTAGCAATTTTCCATTGACATACCTTGAAACTCAGAATTAGCTTTGCCAGTTTTTCCCTTTGGGGAAAAAGGACACATTTAAAATGATTGGACACTGGTATGGACAGTGAAGAGTAGTGTCAAAAGCCCCTTTTCATTGTTTGAGCATGACATGACTGCTTTAAAAGCTCTTGCAGTAGTGTAATATCAGCCTTGGTGGTTCATATTCCTAGAATCGTGCCTATGCTAATATATTTCTACTGAGAAACACAACTTTCCCTAATGCAGCAACAAAACACACTTTGGCATCACTGTTGGTGTGATTGTAGTTAATTGCTTTTGCTGTTATAGCAGCCATTGTATGTAGGACTGCCATCTCACAGTCTGTTACTATAGCCAGGACATCAGATGAAACAGAAGAGGAGGCAACAGAGGCTCTCAGCTCTCTGAGACCCTTAAATGACTTAAGCCAGGTAGGAATTTTAATCTTGATCAACAAATATCCTTAAACCTGTTTGCCTATCCTGGTGCACATTTGTATTACCCTGGACAAAGTGTATACACATCAATTGGCAAATGAACAAGACACATTATCCTCCAACCTCTGGAGAGATCATCCTTAGGGGATCCCAGATGGCAAGCCACTTAAACAAAGAATGGGTTGGGTCCACATCTCTTGGCCTTGTACTCATTGGAGCTTTTATCGTATACTCCATTTGACTAAGGCACCTCGGCACTAGACAAGCCCAGGCTCAATTTGTCACACGAGGACCACAGAGAATCATTAAGCACAACCATGTTTGATTCTATAGCAGTATTAGACAGCCAATGACAGGTGAGACTAAGGGGATGCCAGGAACCCTAAAACACGGGGTCATACAGCCTGGATGATTTTCCATTGACAGGCAAGGTTGGTATTATCATCCTAGTCACCTGAGACAGGTACTATAGTGGGAGATGTTGGGTCCCAGTCCCAATGGGTTCTCTATGAGTCCCTGGTGAGCCAAAAGGTGCATCCTGTTTTCAAGTCTAAGTGCATCCTATTTTCTACTCCTGGCTTACTGCCCCAGCCTTTCCCGACTGACATCAACAACTAGCATGAGGAAAACTCACTTCTATGTGGGGTTATTACACGTTTCTGTAAGCCAGTATATAAAGCTGCTCCCTCTCTACAATAAAGAATATCTCTCTCAGCACAAACGACCAGATGACATGTCTTTCATATTAATCTCCAGGCTTTTGCCCAATATATTAGATGTGATCATGGCGTGGTTGCCACAGATTGCCGTTTCTGCTTAGACGATGTAAGATCTACTGGCTTGACTGCTTTTCTTTTCAGATTGACAGCTTGAAGCATGAACTCCAATATCTGTTTCTGTTTTGGTATTTCCCTGTTACAGAAACCATGTGTTTTGTTAGGAAGAAGACAGTGCAGAGGAAGGAACACTGGCATACATGGTGTGTTGTTCCAGCAACTCTAAATTATCCATTTATTTGCTGTTGACAGCATGTTATCTGTCTGTTATTAGTGCTTTGACAGACAGAACACTGGTTTTCCAAGCTTAAATTTCTCAGGAATTATTGAATGTCAACAGATTTTAATTATTGTTGCTATAATTAACAAGTTTTGAGCCTAGAAATAGAATATTTTTCATGTGGGTCTTGGATTTATTCATAGTGGATTCATACACACAATATGTTTAATAAACACAAGCCTGAAAAAGAAAGAGAATGTATGGAGCTGGGGAGAAAAACAAAAACATTTTATTTAGAAACTTTGAGACCATAGACTTTGATTACATTATCCTTTACTGTCTCTATTTCTTCTTTTAATAAAATCATTTTAAAAGCAAAACGTTGAGGCATCCTGAGCTTTTGAACACAGTTAGATTCTATGTAGAATCACTTACTGGACTTACTTCTCAATGGTTAGGACAGGGACTTTATAACTAAGATTTCTTCAAACGTGCTATTCTTTTAGTTAAAGGGAGTCTGTGTTAGTGTACATTTTCATGTCATCTATTCTCAGTTACCCTTCCAACATTATCAATACCTTTAGTTTTTTTTAAAAAGACAATGAAAAGTCTGCTGAAAACAGTGTTTTATTCATATATACGTTGTGTTGACTAGCAGGTACCTTTATGAACACAAGGCATGTATACAAATACCTTGTGCTCTACTGATGTAAGCCAAGGTAAATGGATACAGTAACCAGTGTGAATCTGATTTAGTAAGGCTAGTGGGTGCTGTCCGTAGTGTGACTATCTTTCAGTAGGCAGTATTTGACAGCAGAAACTTCCCATAGAGGCTGGCTTACAGTACACTCTGATGCAAAGGCAAAAGTTTCCATTTATTGTTCAGCTGGCCAGCCTGATCTTTTTCCATGTTTGAGGAAATGAGATGCCCACCAGCCAAAAATAGGGTATCTGATGCTGTCTTCTACCTTTCTAAGTCCCCAGCAACTCATTTGCTATTGGGAGTGTTAACTTGCACCGTCACTTTAGAAATCAGTATGGAGATTCCTTGGGAAAATGGGAATCAGTCTACCACAAGATCCAGAAAATCCACTCTTAGGCATATACCCAAAAGAAAGTACATTCATACAACAAGGACAGCTGTTCCACTATGTTCATAGCAGCATTATTTGTAATAGTCAGAAACTGGAAACAACCTAGATGCTCCTCAACTGAAGAATAGTCAGAGAAAATGTGGTACTTTCACACAATGGTGTACTACTAAGCAGAAAAAAATGGAATCTTGAAATTAGCCATCAAATGGATGGAACAAGAAAATACCAGGCTAAGCAAGGTAACCCAGTCACAAAAAGACAAATAAGATTTGTACACACTCATATATGGATTTTGGACATAGATCATAGGATTACCAGCCCTAAAAAACACAGAGTTAGAGAAGCTAGGAGACGAGGAATTTAAAAGTACCATACATAGTCCCTTAGAGTAGGTCAATGGAAAAGACATTCTGAGAAAATTGGGAGCATGGGGAAAAGGGGGAGGTAGCTAGAAAAAAGCGCAGGAGAGAAGAGGAAATGAGGGAGCATGAAGTCAGGGTAAGAATAGATAAAAGCAAGATAATATATAACATAATAGAGGGAAACATTATTGGTTGCAATGGAAATCTGGCACTTGGGAGGTGTCCAGAGATCTATAAGGATGACAACAACTAACATTTTAATCAATAGTGGAGAGACTTCCTTAAATACCTTTCCCTGATAATGAGATTGGGCTGTGTTACATGCCATGCTAGAGCCTTCATGCAGTAGCTGATGGAAGCAGAAGCAGATATCTACAACTTAACACTGAACTGAAATCCTGTACTTCAGTTTCAGGAGTAATGAGCAAAGGGGACAAAACGAGGCTGGTGAAATCCACAGAAACACCTGACCTGAACAAGTGGAAGAACATGAACCCCAGACTGATATCTGGGAAAAAAGCATAGGTTTAATCCACAACACCTGAACATGTCAGTGGGGCCTCTGCTATTAGATAAGTTTTGTGTCTAGCTTACAAATGGACTTTGAGGACACATTCCACACAGTACTGAGACACTCTCACCCTAGACACATGTGGGAAGGCCAAGGACCTATTCCAAATTATATGCCAGATTTTGAAGATCTCCCATGAAAGGATGCACACTGCCTGGGGGGAAGGAAGGGGCTGGGATAGGAGGTTATTAAGGGTCAGGTGATGTGGGTTGAAAAGAGAACTGGGATTGATATGTAAAAACAACCTTATTTCTAATGTACATTGAAAATTGAAAAAAGATCCACAAACCTGAGAATACACAGATACATTCTGTCCAAATATAAAACAATTCAAAATATCAAAAAAGATCAGGAAACACTATAATCCCTCAATATATATCCCAAGTGAATGCTCAATGTCATGAATTTATGTACTGAGGCCTCCATCACTGATGATCATGAAGCACATAATCTCTCCATGAATAGATTGCTAAAAAAGAAAAAAATATGATGAGGTCTCTTTATATACTATGAAAGTCCTCAGACTTGAGTTCTTTTCAACTACAGCTAACACCTTTTATTGTGGATATTCACACCAAGCTCTACTGCACTGATTCTCAGGTCAAGATGACATTAAATTTGGGTTAATTTCTTGAGGAAGATAAAGGGACAAGGTTTCCCTACATATCTCTGGTTTGGATCAAATTCACTGTACTACTCAACCCCACTCACGTCTGTCCCTCCCTTCAGTCTCCATGCAGGTTATTTCAGTTCATTCTTACTCTCTCCTCCATCTCTCTCCTTCTCACTGTTGTGATATTACAAGTTTGTACACCAAAACAACTGACCCCATAATACCACATGTCACTATGCAGGCTTTTGTTTTACTTCATTAATTTGATAAATATCTCTCTATAGCTCAAGAAAATCTGACAATCACTATTCTCCTCTTGGCAGGCCAACACTTTACAGGGATGGAAATAAGGAAAGTTGCCAACAGACATCTTCATCAACTTACTGCCTCATCTTGCCTCTTTCCTACCAAGCGAGATATCCTCTGTCTATGTAGTCAATGTACAATACTCAGTCTTGTCTTGTTTGTACTCTTCTGGCTCCACTAAACTGTGTTGTACTCATACTCTAGCGTCAGAAAGTTGTACCCCACCTTGGCACTAGGTTCACAGTTTGTTTTCCCATTTAAGGCAAGGTTTTCCTATGTTTTCATGATTCCTGTTCACTCTTCTGTTTTCTATTTCACTGTGATAAGAATACACTCTTGTACCAGCAATGTGACCACTAGTCTACATGCCATTCTTTTAAAGATATACCACTCAATAGATCCTAGGCTATGATTAAACTAGTCATCCCTACAGTTACTTCCCTATTTTGCAGAATGGTGGTTTGTGCATGGACATACACCACCGAATGATGGGAAACTCTTTCAGGTTTACTTTTATTTTTATAAAAGACAATATTTCATGCTAGTGCAGTACTGGGTGAACATATAATTAACATATCTTGATACTTCCATATTTCAATATAAGGATCACACCAAAAATATGTTCATTACAAATCTACACTGTGTTTCTTTATTTCTGTGACTTTTTTGTGGTTTCAGAGTGTGGATGTTGGGTTTGATCTTGTTTTCCTTTTTGTCCTTGTTTTTCCATATTGAAGGCTATCTGAATAGCTCAGTATGACTATTGTAATCCCCCAACTGATTCAATCTCCTTGTGTTCTTTAAATGTGGTACCATCACAGAACAGAAAAAATTTGTTTACATTTTTTGGAAAATTTTAAATTTCTCAAAATTCATGTTTTTCTCACAAATCCTGAGTTTATGCATACTTTAAATATTAGGTAATAGGAAAATAAATGAAAAACTGGGGGAAATATCAAACAGTATTTCTACGAATTCCATCGCTGCTTTATGTAAAAATTAGAAATCTGTTTTGAGGGACCAACTAATTTCAGAAAATATGGAGAAATGATGAAAGATAGAGTAAGTTTTAAAAATACATGGGAGATTTACAATCAAGACCAAATAGCTCCACCCACAGAAATACCTATTTTCGCCTTTCCAACACAAATCTATATGTGTATAGCTCAAAAAGAGACTTTCTTTTTTTAGCAGAAAATAAATGATGATATAATATGAGTCTATGAGTGGGTGTGGTTGGTTAAGTATGTAGGAGGTGCATTTGCATGTGGCAGAATGTTAGATCATAAATTTAGCTGGCCACCCAGGTGGAATTCTGATAAGTGTTGGGTATATTCTTTAATGATAGCATTTTAAGACAATGATTGTCTTATTCAGGCCATGCCAATATTCTGAATTTGCCCTGCACCTATCAAAATTTAGCATGACAAGAGAACCTAATATCGGAGAAGGCAGTCTGTGGAAAAACAGTTCAAAGACTTTTGTTGATGAATGTTCTCCTTCCTAAGAAGTACGACTATGGATTAAGAAGATAAAAGTTCTCAGATATAATAATGAAATGGTGAGTTTCCTCTTGCTACCTATCTTCAGCATATTTTAATCAATTTCTTAAACTAGACTAAGTAATCTTGGACAGGTGTATATGTACAAGGAATTACATGCCCAACTTCTATCAGATGGCCTCTAAAGAACTGAATACACAATGTCAATATAGCCTTGCAAGATTGTAGGATACTGAACTTGTTGTACAGATGGCAGCTTGATGTCCATTACCACTGTACATATCAAGACATTGCCCTCGCTTGCTGAGAAATATGTGTAGCTGATTCTTTTCCCACTGTCTATTTATTTTCTGAGACATCTAGACTCTGCTGATAAGAATGTGGTTCCCATAATCTTTCTATGTGTATGTTCTCTGAGAGATGTAGGTGATGCACAACTGAGATATCACCTCATATGTCAACCTAAATATAAACTAAAAATGAGATGATACAGGTGTAAAGTATATTGTGGAAAATATCAGGAGACCCTCAAACTCATGAGAACTCTGTAGCCAACAAATGTTTTAAATGTCTCATACTATCTTAAAATTGTTTGCATAGCTGATAAATCAGCATGAAGCTCAGTTGTATTATACCATTTCTTGGATTATTTTTAATGTGTGTTTTACAGCGATCTTCCAAATCAGTTCTAATCTTCTCTAATTCTGAAGAGAACTATAATTTATTATTTCCTGTGCAAAAAATGACATAACCTGTACACCCAACACCTCGTATTTTCTGAATAGGCTCCCAATCCGCTCAGGAGATCCTGTCCTGTTCCCCTTCTCTGGGGTTACATACATAATTCTCTTAGAGTACCCTCCGTTTCCAAGACTCTCGG